CCCCACGTACCTCACATGTGTGGAGAGACGAGGAAGTGTTTCCTTTAGTTACCCCACGTACCACACATGTGTGGAGAGACGAGGAAGTGTTTCCTTTAGTTACCGCACATACCTCACATGTGTGGAGAGACGAGGAAGTGTTTCCTTTAGTTACCCCACGTACCTCACATGTGTGGAGAGACGAGAAAGTGTTTCCTTTAGTTACCCCACGTACCTCACATGTGTGGAGAGACGAGGAAGTGTTTCCTTTAGTTACCGCACGTACCTCACATGTGTGGAGAGACGAGGAAGTGTTTCCTTTAGTTACCCCACGTACCTCACATGTGTGGAGAGACGAGGAAGTGTTTCCTTTAGTTACCCCACGTACCTCACATGTGTGGAGAGACGAGGAAGTGTTTCCTTTAGTTACCCCACGTACCTCACATGTGTGGAGAGACGAGGAAGTGTTTCCTTTAGTTACCGCTTTAGAGACGAGGAAGTTTTCCTTTAGTTACCCCACGTACCTCACATGTGTGGAGAGACGAGGAAGTGTTTCCTTTAGTTACCCACGTACCACACATGTGTGGAGAGACGAGGAAGTGTTTCCTTTAGTTACCCCACGTACCACACATGTGTGGAGAGACGAGGAAGTGTTTCCTTTAGTTACCCCACGTACCACACATGTGTGGAGAGACGAGGAAGTGTTTCCTTTAGTTACCCCACGTACCACACATGTGTGGAGAGACGAGACGAGTTAAGTACCACACATGTTTCCTTCAGTGTTTCCTTTAGTTACCGCACGTACCTCACATGTGTGGAGAGACGAGGAAGTGTTTCCTTTAGTTACCCCACGTACCTCACATGTGTGGAGAGACGAGAAAGTGTTTCCTTCAGTTACCCCACATACCACACATGTATTATCAGACGAGAAAGCATCGTAGTATCTTTTCATGTTTTTTGAAAGAAAAATCACACACATACTAGCACAACTTTGTATATTTCAAACAAGCTCTACACATGTGTATACCTTTGGATGCTGCTCCAGGAATGTAGCCACTTTCAAGGCAGAGGCACTGATTCGCTCCATTCTCAGGGGAAGGGTTTTTATTCCACGTAGTAACAAGCTGGAGTCATGAGGAGACTGTGGAAAAGGATGGACAACAAAAATCTTTAAGGTCTTCACATGACAGTTTATGTGTCTTAAATGTGTGACATTGTCATTTAAGGTCTTCACGTTACAGGTTTATGTGTCTTAAATGTGTAAAATGGTCATTTATCATTTCATTATGTATACTTGAATATAAAGATAACATGCATGATTGAAATGTCAGACGCGACTGCGTGCCGAATGTGAAAGCCTTGAAAATAAAGTTTGTTTGTTTATTCGTTCATTCGACAATCAAATACTTCATTAACTCACAATCAAATACTTCAATAACTCACAATCAAATACTTCAATAACTCACAATCAAATACTTCAATAACTCACAATCAAATACTTCAATAACTCACACTCAAATACTTCAATAACTCACACTCAAATACTTCAATAACTCACAATCAAATACTTCAATAACTCACAATCAAATACTTCAATAACTCACACTCAAATACTTCAATAACTCACAATCAAATACTTCAATAACTCACACTCAAATACTTCAATAACTCACACTCAAATACTTCAATAACTCACACTCAAATACTTCAATAACTCACACTCAAATACTTCAATAACTCACAATCAAATACTTCAATAACTCACAATCAAATACTTCAATAACTCACAATCAAAGACTTCAATAACTCACAATCAAAGACTTCAATAACTCACACTCAAATACTTCAATAACTCACAATCAAAGACTTCAATAACTCACACTCAAATACTTCAATAACTCACAACTGTTGGTGTTTTAGACAATGTCAGCAATGGTTGACAATATACCAGATATCGGAGCTAAATGCTACAGAAACATTCTGGGAGAAATGGTTGACAATATACCAGATATCAGAGCTAAATGCTACAGAAACATTCTGGGAGAAATGGTTGACAATATACCAGATATCGGAGCTAAATGCTATAGAAACATTCTGGGAGAGATGGTTGACAATATACCAGATATCGGAGCTAAATGCTACAGAAACATTCTGGGAGAAATGGTTGACAATATACCAGATATCGGAGCTAAATGCTACAGAAACATTCTGGGAGAAATGGTTGACAATATACCAGATATCGGAGCTAAATGCTACAGAAACATTCTGGGAGAAATGGTTGACAATATATTAGATATCGGAGCTAAATGCTACAGAAACATTCTGGGAGAGATGGTTGACAATATACCAGATATCGGAGCTAAATGCTACAGAAACATTCTGGGAGAAATGGTTGACAATATACCAGATATCGGAGCTAAATGCTACAGAAACATTCTGGGAGAAATTGTTGACAATATACCAGATATCGGAGCTAAATGCTACAGAAACATTCTGGGAGAGATGGTTGACAATATACCAGATATCGGAGCTAAATGCTACAGAAACATTCTGGGAGAAATGGTTGACAATATACCAGATATCGGAGCTAAATGCTACAGAAACATTCTGGGAGAAATGGTTGACAATATACCAGATATCGGAGCTAAATGCTACAGAAACATTCTGGGAGAAATGGTTGACAATATACCAGATATCGGAGCTAAATGCTACAGAAACATTCTGGGAGAGATGGTTGACAATATACCAGATATCGGAGCTAAATGCTACAGAAACATTCTGGGAGAAATGGTTGACAATATACCAGATATCGGAGCTAAATGCTACAGAAACATTCTGGGAGAAATGGTTGACAATATACCAGATATCGGAGCTAAATGCTACAGAAACATTCTGGGAGAGATGGTTGACAATATACCAGATATCGGAGCTAAATGCTACAGAAACATTCTGGGAGAAATGGTTGACAATATACCAGATATCAGAGCTAAATGCTACAGAAACATATTCTGGGAGAAATGGTTGACAATATACCAAATATCGGAGCTAAATGCTACAGAAACATATTCTGGGAGAAATGGTTGACAATATACCATATATCAGAGCTAAATGCTACAGAAACATATTCTGGGAGAAATGGTTTACAATATACCAGATATCAGAGCTAACTGCTACAGAAACATATTCTGGGAGAAATGGTTGACAATATACCAGATATCAGAGCTAAATGCTACAGAAACATATTCTGGGAGAAATGGTTGACAATATACCAGATATCGGAGCTAACTGCTACAGAAACATTGTAAGCTAGAGTGGCAAGAAGAGACCAGGAAGAAGTCATGTCTGACATTTGTCGAGGTTTGAACATCAAGTAAAACTGACCTAGTGACAGCTGTCACTGAAGCTGTGATACATTGACTAAATCAAATACCTCAAAGATTTCAATAAAACCGATGAAAGGCCTGGTCCCAGAAAGGAGAGGCAGGGAACTGCCAGCATGAAGGTTGACACGGGGTAACTGAAGATACTTTAGATATAAATTATATGATGCAGCTGACCCGGCAAATGATGAAGAGTCGTTCTGGGTAGAATTCGTAAAAAATATCTGGTGGTGGTGATGATGATTATAGTGATGATGATGGTGATGATGATTATAGTGATGATGATGGTGGTGATGATTATAGTGATGATGATGGTGATTATGGTGATGGTGTGATGATTATAGTGATGATGATGGTGGTGATGATTATAATGATGATGATGGTGATGATGATTATAGTGATGATGATGGTGATGATGATTATAGTGATGATGATGGTGTTTATGGTGATGTTGATTATAGGGATGATGGTGATGATGATAATGAAACGAAAATGATACCGCCCACAGAAGACTTGAATACAAAAGGTTTAGGGCAGCCAGATGTTGAGCGTCTGGATCTAGACAGTCCTAATTCCTGTCCACATATAGAACATACCAACATGCTACAGAATGTCCCATGTATGTCGACGCACATACAGAAAACACAACAGGGCCCCTGCGTGTAGACACATAAACAGAATACACAACAGGGCCCCTGCGTGTAGACACACATATGGAACATACAACAGGGCCCATGTGTGTCGACACACATACAGAAAACACAACAGGGCCCCTGCGTGTAGGCACACATACAGAACATACAACAGGGCCCCTGCGTGTAGACACACATATGGAACATACCAACATATTTCCGTAAGTGGTCTGGATATGTTTGAGAACCCGCCATTGTTCCACAGTTCGGGTGGTGACACAACCGCCGATCAGGTCCGAGTGGCCGCCCATGTACTTGGTGCTGTCGATCAACAAGGTCACAAATCACAGGTCACAGGTCACAGATCACAGGTCACAGATCACAGGTCACAGATCAACGTATCATTTTGGTAGCTTCTTTTTGTTTATTCATCAATAAATCAGTTCCTCTGGGCAGCGGTTTATAACAACAAAATACATTACAAATAAGCAAGGAAGTAAATCCTAGATAACTGAACTACAAACTTAAACTGCTCTTTCTGATGAGAAACGAGCAGCTGGGGACATGCAACACCACGGAACAATCCAAATAAGAATTGCATTTACAAAAATAGTAATTAAACAAACATGACCATAGTGACCGGTCAGAAAGACGATCCTTCATCTGTTGCCGGACAAGCTGTAAAATAAGGACAAAGCATTTCGAATTCCCCGACAGACAGATTTCTAAGGCTACAATTTCATTAAACCCCGACTATTCATTTTTTCAGTTCAGAACTATGTAAACAGAAAGGCATGGTAGTGAACCTACACTTGTCCTTGAACCTACACTTGTCCCTGAACCTACACTTGTCCCTGAACCTACACTTGTCCTGGTAAAACACGCAGTTACTTTTGAGAGTAAAGGATTGTGCACTTCAGTTGTGAAGGATTGTGCACTTCAGTTGTGAAGGATTGTGCACTTCAGTTGTGAAGGATTGTGCACTTCAGTTGTGAAGGATTCACTTATTTGCAGGGATTTTGTTCAATTGTTACTGTAGTACACCCAGCAGTAAACTGTCTAGTCTTTTGCTGTTTGTCTTTTTTTTTATTTAAAAAAAAAAAAAAAGACTTTTTTAAAGTGTGCTTGATGGCAAATAAATGCACTGACAAATTTCACATATGGCAAGTGCAAACATAACATAAAAAATTAGTTTCTATACTGCAGGCGATGAGACTGATCCCCGGTCCAACTCACCAGCTGTGCATGGAAAAGTCAACCCCATAAGGGATAAAATGTTGTAGCGCTGGACTCCCAAATGTTGCATCCACGCCCAGAAGGATGCCTCTGCTCCTGCAAAGTGCACCGAACCCATCAACGTCTACAACAACCAGCTCCGGGTTACAGGGAGTCTCGATCCAGATCAGCTGGTTCAGGAATACAACAAATAACGTGATTCGGTGCAGTTACTCTGGTGTTCAATGTGGTATTACATATATCAGTTACTCTGGTGTTCAATGTGGTATTACTTATATCAGTTACTCTAGTGTTTAATGTGTTATCACATATATCAGTTACTTGTTCTTCTTCTTCTTCTTCTTCTTCTTCTTCTTCTTCTTCTTCTTCTTCTTCTTCTTCTTCTTCTTCTTCTTCTTCTTCTCTTCTTCTTCTCCTCCTTCTTCTTCTTCTTTCTTCTTCTTCTTCCTTTTCTTCTTTTCTCTACTGCTTGAATGCCTCGCGTCGTCAGATCAGGTAGAGATCCCTGGAACGCGCCCTTCTGTTCTCTTCCTATAAAAAACTTTTCTGTGTCTGATATTTCTCCAATTCATCTTCTGCGTGGTCGATCTCTGGATCTGTTGCCGTTCTGTCTGTATAGCACTGCTCTCTGTGGTGCCCTGTCTGATACCAACCTTCTCGGAGATATACAACCGGTTAGCTGGAAGTATAACTCAACTGTTATGTTGCATATTTGAAACATCACTCAACTGTTATGTTGCATATTTGAAACATCACTCAACTGTTATGTTGCATATTTGAAACATCACTCAACTGTTATGTTGCACATTTGAAACATCATTCAACTGTTATGTTGCACATTTGAAACATCACTCAACTGTTATGTTGCACACTTGAAACATCACTCAATGTTATGCCGCCCAACTAAAACATCACTAAGCTGTTATGCCACACATTTGAAACATGATTCAACTGTTATGTTGCACATTTTAAACATCATAAAGTTGATCGGTCGCACACCTCAAACATAATTCAACTTGGCAAAATGGTAAAAGGAACTGTTTTAACATAAAAAATTCGTATGTGTATGTATGCTGAAAAAATAAGGTGTTTGGATATGTTCCCCGCTGGTTAGTTACCTTGCTATGCCACTGACTGCAACCTTGAAACAATGCACTCCACAGTTACTGCATTTCTGTGCTTCACTGATCCCCCCCCCCCCCCCCCCCCCCCCCCCCCACCAGCCAAAGGAACACTACTTTGGTATATCAGACCTAACACATCTACACAGACAGCCAGAGAAACAAGGGACATATAATTATAGTGACCGCTGACCACAGTGAGACTGATACCTTAGTGTTGGGCTTGATGTGTTTCTCCACCTCCTGGACGGTGATGTCGGTGACTGAGCTGATCTGCACGCCGAAGTCATCGCGCATGTGCTTCAATGCCGTGGCCGTGCCGGGGTAGCAAGGTAGCTGGTAGATCTGTGGGCATGCATGTTCACACGTTAGCTGTTCACACGTTAGCTGTTTACACGTTAGCTGTTCACACGTTAGCTTTTCACACGTTAGCTGTTCACACTTTAGCTGTTCACACGTTAGCTGTTCACCCGTTAGCTGTTCACACTTTAGCTGTTCACCCGTTAGCTGTTCACACGTTAGCTGTTCACACTTTAGCTGTTCACACTTTAGCTGTTCACACGTTAGCTGTTCACACGTTAGCTGTTCACCCGTTAGCTGTTCACACGTTAGCTGTTCACCCGTTAGCTGTTCACCCGTTAGCTGTTCACACGTTAGCTGTTCACACTTTAGCTGTTCATACTTTAGCTGTTCACCCGTTAGCTGTTCACACGGTAGCTGTTCACCCGTTAGCTGTTCACGCGTTAGCTGTTCACCCGTTAGCTGTTCACACGTTAGCTGTTCACACGTTAGCTGTTCACCCGTTAGCTGTTCACACGTTAGCTGTTCACACGTTAGCTATTCATACTTGAAGTAAGATCTTATCAATGACAAGCGCAGCACTTTACTGTGCCGACCAGCAGACCAAAGGGCATGACTCTGTATCGCTTGCTAGGTTGATGGACATTGGGGCTGCAACCTGGAGCTGCAAGAAATGAACATTTCACCAAGGAAACAAGAGGTTAGTTGAGTATTCTTTACAGGACGGTGCAGAACCAACCTCAACAGAACAGACATTATCAATCGTTTTACGCTTATGGAGCTTTTGATGAGGCGATCGAGGCACCCATAGATCTGTCTGAAGTACTGTCACGATAAACATCACCAATTACTAACAAACATATGGCGATTTTTTTTTGTTGGTTTTGTTAGTTTTGCTAGCGTTTATTTTTCGTCTTCTTTTGTGCCGCTCTTATGAAAAAATAGACTTGGCAAACCAATATACATGTACACATATACAAATTACTGGACATTTAAGAAAAATAAAGATACAGGACCAACCAACAAACAGAACATACCACGTGGTCTCCGGTTTTCAGAAAACCTAGAAAGCAACTGGTAATGGCGGCCATGCCACTAGCGAAGGTGAGACTTCCGGCGCCCCTCTCTATGACGTTGATGACGGCCTCGGTCGCTTCTGTGGTCGGGTTGGACAACCGGGAGTAGATGGGCCCTCCCTGGTGGACACAGACAGACATGAAACTCCGGGACAGTTAGTGCAGAAAACTGATCCTATAACAGTGTCGTAGCCACACAGACAGACAGACAGACTTGAAACTCCGTGACAATTAGTGCAGGAAACTGATCCTATAACAGTGTCGTAGCCACACAGACAGACAGACAGACTTGAAACTCTGTGACAGTTAGTGCAGGAAACTGATCCTATAACAGTGTCGTAGCCACACAGTCAGACAGACAGACAGACAGACAGACATGAGACTTTGTGTTAGATAGTGCAGAAAACTGATCCTATAACAGTGTCGTAGCCACGCAGACAGACAGGCAGACAGACAGACAGACAGACAGACGTGAAACTTTGTGTCAGTTAGTGCAGGAAACTGATCCTTCAGTGTCGTAGCCACACACACAGACAGACATGAAACTTTGTGTTAGCTGGTGCAGGAAACTAATCCCATAACAGTGTCGCAGCCACACAGACAGACAGACAATAATCTCTGGGTCAGTTAGTGCAGGAAACTGATCACACAACAGTATCGCAGCTACACAGACAGACAGAAAGACAGACAGACAGACAGACAGACAGACAGACAGACAGATAGACATACATAAATCTCTGTGTCAGTTAGTGCCAGTACTGATCCTAGAGTGTCGCAGCAGACAGACTCTTCTGTCTAGATGTGCCCTTACAGAGAAGACAGACTCTAGTGTCTATATGTGCCCTTACAGAGAAGACAGACTTTACTGTCTAGATGTGCCTGTACAGAGAAGACAGACTCTTCTGTCTAGATGTGCCCTTACAGAGAAGACAGACTCTTCTGTCTAGATGTGCCCTTACAGAGAAGACAGACTCTTGTGTCTAGATGTGCCCTTACAGAGAAGACAGACTTTACTGTCTAGATGTGCCCTTACAGGGAAGACAGACTCTACTGTCTAGATGTGCTCTTACAGAGAAGACAGACTACTGTCTAGATGTGCCCTTACAGAGAAGACAGTCTTTACTGTCTAGATGTGCCCTTACAGAGAAGACAGACTCTACTGTCTAGATGTGCTCTTACAGAGAAGACAGACTCTACTGTTTAGATGTGCTCTTACAGAGAAGACAGACTCTACTGTCTAGATGTGCCCTTACAGAGAAGACAGACTTTACTGTCTAGATGTGCTCTTACAGAGAAGACAGTCTTTACTGTCTAGATGTGCCCTTACAGAGAAGACAGACTCTACTGTCTAGATGTGCTCTTACAGAGAAGACAGACTCTACTGTCTAGATGTGCTCTTACAGAGAAGACAGACTCTACTGTCTAGATGTGCCCTTACAGAGAAGACAGACTTTACTGCCTAGATGTGCTCTTACAGAGAAGACAGACTCTACTGTCTAGGTGTGCCCTTACAGAGAAGACAAACTTTACTGTCTAGATGTGCCCTTACAGAGAAGACAGACTCTTCTGTCTAGGTGTGCCCTTACAGAGAAGACAGTCTCTACTGTCTAGATGTGCCCTTACAGAGAAGACAGACTTTACTGTCTAGATGTGCCCTTACAGAGAAGACAGTCTCTACTGTCTAGATGTCCCCTTACAGAGAAGACAAACTTTACTGTCTAGATGTGCCCTTACAGAGAAGACAGACTCTACTGTCTAGATGTGCCCTTACAGAGAAGACAGACTCTACTGTCTAGATGTGCTCTTACAGAGAAGACAGACACTACTGTCTAGATGTGCTCTTACAGAGAAGACAGACTCTAATGTCTAGATGTGCTCTTACAGAGAAGACAGACTAGATGTACTGTCTAGATGTGCTCTTACAGAGAAGACAGACTCTACTGTCTAGATGTGCTCTTACAGAGAAGACAGACTCTACTGTCTAGATGTGCTCTTACAGAGAAGACAGACTCTACTGTCTAGATGTGCTCTTACAGAGAAGACAGACTCTACTGTCTAGATGTGCCCTTACAGAGAAGACAGACTCTACTGTCTAGATGTGCCCTTACAGAGAAGACAGACTCTACTGTCTAGATGTGCCCTTACAGAGAAGACAGACTCTACTGTCTAGATGTGCTCTTACAGAGAAGACAGACTCTACTGTCTAGATGTGCTCTTACAGAGAAGACAGACTCTACTGTCTAGATGTGCTCTTACAGAGAAGACAGACTCTACTGTCTAGATGTGCTCTTACAGAGAAGACAGACTCTACTGTCTCTATGAGCTCTTACAGAGAAGACAGTCTCTACTGTCTAGATGTGCTCCTACAGAGAAGACAGACTCTACTGTCTAGATGTGCTCTTACAGAGAAGACAGACTCTACTGTCTAGATGTGCCCTTACAGAGAAGACAGTCTCTACTGTCTAGATGTACTCTTACAGAGAAGACAGACTCTACTGTCTAGATGTGCCCTTACAGAGAAGACTCTTCTGTCTAGATTTTCCCTTACAGAGAAGACAGACTCTACTGTCTAGATGTGCCCTTACAAAGAAGACAGACTTTACTGTCTATATGTGGCCTTACAGAGAAGACAGACTCTTCTGTCTAGATGTGCCCTTACAGAGAAAACAGACTCTACTGTCTAGATGTGCCCTTACAGAGAAAACAGACTCTACTGTCTAGATGTGCTCTTACAGAGAAGACAGACTTTACCGTCTAGATGTGCCCTTACAGAGAAGACAGACTCTACTGTCTAGATGTGCCCTTACAGAGAAGACAGACTCTACTGTCTAGATGTGCCCTTACAGAGAAGACAGACTCTACTGTCTAGATGTGCCCTTACAGAGAAGACTCTACTGTCTAGATGTCCCTTACAGAGAAGACCCTTAGATGTGCCCTTAAGACAGACTCTACTGTCTAGATGTGCCCTTACAGAGAAGACAGACTCTACTGTCTAGATGTGCCCTTACAGAGAAGACAGACTCTACTGTCTAGATGTGCCCTTACAGAGAAGACTCTACTGTCTAGATGTGCCCTTACAGAGAAGACAGACTCTACTGTCTAGATGTGCCCTTACAGAGAAGACAGACTCTACTGTCTAGATGTGCCCTTACAGAGAAGACTCTACTGTCTAGATGTGCCCTTACAGAGAAGACAGACTCTACAGAGAAGACAGACTCTGTCTAGATGTGCCCTTACAGAGAAGACAGACTCTACTGTCTAGATGTGCCCCTTACAGTGCCCTTACAGAGAACAGACTCTACTGTCTAGATGTGCCCTTACAGAGAAGACAGACTCTACTGTCTAGATGTGCCCTTACAGAGAAGACAGACTCTACTGTCTAGATGTGCCCTTACAGAGAGACAGACTCTACTGTCTAGATGTGCCCTTACAGAGAAGACAGACCCTCTACTGTCTAGATGTGCCCTTACAGAGAAGACAGACTCTACTGTCTAGATGTGCCCTTACAGAGAAGACAGACTCTACTGTCTAGATGTGCCCTTACAGAGAAGACAGACTCTACTGTCTAGATGTGCCCTTACAGAGAAGACAGACTCTACTGTCTAGATGTGCCCTTACAGAGAAGACAGACTCTACTGTCTAGATGTGCCTTTACAGAGAAGACAGACTCTACTGTCTAGATGTGCCCTTACAGAGAAGACTCTACTGTCTAGATGTGCCCTTACAGAGAAGACAGATTCTACTGTCTAGATGTGCCCTTACAGAGAAGACAGACTCTACTGTCTAGATGTGCCCTTACAGAGAAGACAGACTCTACTGTCTAGATGTGCCCTTACAGAGAAGACAGACTCTACTGTCTAGATGTGCCCTTACAGAGAAGACAGACTCTACTGTCTAGATGTGCCCTTACAGAGAAGACTCTACTGTCTAGATGTTTCCTTACAGAGAAGACTCTACTGTCTAGATGTACCCTTACAGAGAAGACTCTACTGTCTAGATGTGCCCTTATAGAGAAGACTCTACTGTCTAGATGTGCCCTTACAGAGAAGACATACTCTTCTGTCTAAATGTGCCCTTACAGAGAAGACAGACTCTACTGTCTAGATGTGCCCTTACAGAGAAGACAGACTTTTCTGTCTAGATGTGCCCTTACAGAGAAGACAGAATCTACTGTCTAGATGTTCCCTTACAGAGAAGACTCTACTGTCTAGATGTGCCCTTACAGAGAAGTCAGACTTTACTGTCTAGATGTGCCCTTACAGAGAAGACAGACTCTACTGTCTAGATGTGCCCTTACAGAGAAGACAGACTCTACTGTCTAGATGTGCCCTTACAGAGAAGACTTTTCTGTCTAGATGTGCCCTTACAGAGAAGACAAACTCTACTGTCTAGATGTGCCCTTACAGAGAAGACACACTCTACTGTCTAGATGTGCCCTTACAGAGAAGACTCTTCTGTCTAGATGTTCCCTTACAGAGAAGACTCTACTGTCTAGATGTGCCCTTACATAGAAGACTCTTCTGTCTAGATGTGCCCTTACAGAGAAGACTCTACTGTCTAGATGTGCCCTTACAGAGAAGACTCTTCTGTCTAGATGTGCCCTTACAGAGAAGACAAACTCTACTGTCTAGATGTGCCCTTACAGAGAAGACTCTTCTGTCTAGATGTGCCCTAACAGAGAAAACAAACTCTACTGTCTAGATGTGCCCTTACAGAGAAGACAGTCTCTACTGTCTAGATGTGCCCTTACAGAGAAGACAGACTTTACTGTCTAGATGTGCCCTTACAGAGAAGACAGACTTTACTGTCTAGATGTGCCCTTACAGAGAAGACAGACTCTACTGTCTAGATGTGCCCTTACAGAGAAGACAGACTCTACTGTCTAGATGTGCCCTTACAGAGAAGACAGACTCTACTGTCTAGATGTGCCCTTACAGAGAAGACAGACTCTTGTGTCTAGATGTGCCCTTACAGAGAAGACAGACTCTACTGTCTAGATGTGCCCTTACAGAGAAGATAGACTCTACTGTCTAGATGTGCCCTTACAGAGAAGACAAACGGACGAGTGGCCAGAGACAGCAAGTACACTCCAATTTGAGAAGACATGTGGACTTTTGTTT